AAGAGGTGACATCAGAGCCCTCGGAATCATAAAAAAATCGCATATGGGAGGAAACTGCGGTATGCAGAAAAAAATCCTATGCTTAGGGAGGATAGCACTCAAACATCCACACGGAGAGATTCAATAATCCACTTGCTTGGATTTTAGGTGGGTGGATCAGTAGCAGCGGCAGTAGCAACAGCATCTGTTTGTGACCCAGTTGAGATCATCAACTCGATGCACTTGAGAACCCAGCTTATTCACAGATGGCCAGAGGCTGTATTCAAGGCAAGACCTCAGTCATGCCGGCTCAGTTATCTGACCTCTGATCCACCCGGTCACCTCGATTGCTTTACAGTGATATTTAGCATATTGTACTCTAAACCATATTGTACTATTCACCATGCATGTCTGTGCTAACAATTAATGAATCTCAGCACAGTACATAGTCACATATCCAACCATAATGTATCCTCCTTGACCAACTAAGATTTCACTTTTTCTTTAAATGTCCACCACAAATCCGACCACTCCCACATAATTGAATGCATTCTTAATACCGCTAACTTCTAAAGGAAAGCAGCTTGCGCATTATTTTTGAGCAGTAACCAACTCACGCATATTTCCATATATGGCCGCATATCCGACCTTTCCACACATCCGCCTATAACTTCCGTCCACAGCGAGTCGGATGTGCGACTTTTACGTGCTGTATGTTGAACTTCTTTCGCGCCGTACGTAGCCAACCGTGCTAATCGGACGTGCCGTACCACCCGAGTTAAACGACGTCAAATTCGAACGTTACGCTAATCGCGTGCTAATTGACAAGACGGAAGAGCGTGATTGGTGAAAGGACGCCTCCGTTTTTTTGTGCTTTTTTTTCTTTTTGCTCGTTCATTTTCCCTTTCATTCACATTTTGGCCGGACAACCATGCACAGACTTGGCCTTTCGTGCGGCCCCCTTTTCCCTTCCGCGCGATGCGTGCACACGTACGCAGCTCTGACAGGTTCCCACGGTGCCGGCCAACGCTTTGCGCTGGAAGTGGCCACCGACGGGGATAGGAGCACATCTCAAAGCATTGGAACCAGCGGAGAAGTAAAAAGGGGCCCATTCCCTGCCCATTGGAAACCCAACGGCGGCACCTGAGACCCCCTCTCGGAGGACATTTGCGGAGCCGGCAACGCGTTAATTGATTGCGCATTTGGCACCCGGATGAAATTCCCCATTATCTAACCCGCTCACATCAATGGGTTCACAAAAGAAGAAAGTTCATGTAGCGGTGCACTGCCAAGCACGCTAATAGATGTATTGGTTCTTCCGTTCCTCTCCAAAACGGGGGGGGGGGGGGGGGGGGGGCTGCGTTGCAATTGTTAGCAAGCGCAGGACTTGCTCGATCTCCCGGTGTGGCAGGAGAAAAATGGGCGTGCTTAAACTCCCCCGCCTGACCCCTGACCCCCCCTCCTCCCACCACCATCGTCCCTGCGCACACAGCAGGATAAATGGGTACACCAAGGTGCAGTCGATCGGTAGATCGCGTGTGGGTTGGTGGGGTGCAAAGTACCGCCACCTCAGTAGTAATAGGTTTTTACCCTTTCAACTGGTACAAAAACTGACACCTGTTTTGAGTTGTACGCCTTTTGGCGTCATCTGGTCCAACACCAATGGAGACTAGGCTCTAAGAAAAGCTGTCTCGGGTGTGGACCAATCAACTTCAAGGACAGTGCATATCATAATCATTATCAGAGTTGTTTCTTTTTGTTTGCATTTTGACTGCTTGTGTTGTGGTTATTGCAAACATGATGCCTCGTATAAAGGTGTCAGTTTTTGTACCAGTTGAAAGGGTAAAAACCTATTACTATATTTTGCCACTGGTAAAGGAGATGTCTCATAGTGTACCGCCACCTCCTCCGAGACGTCTGAGCCAGCATGGAAGAGGAGGCCAAATACCCCTAGAGGCCCCCTTTAGTGGAGGCTGTTCTGCCAGCAATGGCAGAGCAAGTAGTTGTAGGGCTTTACCTTTTTGCTTAAGAGAGAAGCGATGGCCGGATAAATCATATGGCCGGATAGAGCAGTAGTCAGGGCACATGACTAACAGCCGGCAACTTGATTATTCATATATTTCTCAAGTGTCCGTGCAGCACATCATCACCCAGCGGGTGATTAAATTAGGCACTAAATTGTGAGAAGCCAAACGAATATCGTTCCGTCCTGCGAACTTCTTGTCAATCCACTGCTGGATTGAGGGCCTCTGTGCATGTGAGACTGGTTTGATAACAAACGGGAGGAACAATCTCAAGAAAGACACACAATGTACGTAGTAACATATTGACCAACCAGCCCAATGCTGAAAAAAAAACACACCTGCTAATTACTCAATCGGCATTACACATCGCTCTCTGACTCCCTAAAGAACGAGGCAGGAGCCTCCTGAAAAAGTGTCTGGAGACTCACTGAGGTTCTTCTGGGTAAATGAGCGTAGTAATAATAAATAATAATAAAAAATAAAGTAAAGGAAGTCCCAGCATGCATGGCACGTCAAGCTTTCAGGCTGTGTGCAGAGCATATGCAAGCATGATGCTGTCATCAGGATTTCCTGTTGTGCTTCTGTTGTGTAAACGTCTTTGTGTTACGAACACTATCAATTTATTTTTTGTCCTGTGCGGCATTTCTTCGTGGCCGATGGATTTTCTCAAAAGCCCCGGAAATGGTTTGAATATCAGTTACGGTCACAAATTCACGCGTTATGGGGTTTTTTTTTCACCTCGCGATTTTGTTTTAAATGTCACCAAATGTTGTGAATTCGACATTTGCTACACGACCGCTGCATGCCGATTTCACATTCGTACCTTTCTGACAATGCGGCAATCGTTCACACCTCAGGCGTCTCATGTAAAAGTTGGGCCTTATTCCCACATTTAGCGAACATTAACACGTTTAAATAACTGCTAACGACGAATTGTACCTTGAGATGTAATGTTTTATTTCATTCAAATTGGTGTTGTTGATGGTATATTCGTACATTGTCAAATCAGACAGATGCTGAATATATGGGATGTCTATTAATAATAAGTATTATGTAAAAATATGACGTTATTTTGTTTTTTACAAGGTCACCTTAAATTTCGATTTAAAGCTTTCGTGACTGCAGGGATTCATCTTCTTGTTTCTTTCGGTAAAGTCACGTAGAAGGGAAGTAATAAAATAATAAAAATAAAACATAATAAAACAATTCTCACGACGTTTCGGCTACAACGCAAGCAGCCGTCTTCAGGTGAAGAATGAGACACTACCAAACTAGGAGCTTATATATAAGCTGCATTGGGGGTTGAAGAGCGCCTTAACAAAAAGAATGTGCATGTGAAGAGGGATTTAGCATATTCATGGAAAATGCGTAGGCGTTGGGCGGGGGGGTGTCAAAGTCATATTATGCCCATGCATTATGCAGGATCAGCAGCAACCAAGGGGGGTGCAGGGATTAGCAGTAACAAAGGAAAGGAATGTTAATGATATGTAGCTGCAGTTACTCAACAACCACGTAGAAAACTAAAGTATAAACTACATAAAAAACTAAAGTATAAACTGCATCGCACCATCAGTATACTTACTATACTCTATAATAAGCTGAGTTACTAACAGCAAGTAATACATTACAATTTTACCTCGTAAAAATTCTATAATATGCTTCCATCTAAACCTTATTCTCTTACATCACACGAGCATATACCGTACTATATACTGCCATAGATAAACCCAACATTAAATTATATACTGTATTGCTGTAAACCAACCTATATCTTATACATTTAATATCACACTATGTATTATTCTACACACCCTAATGTGTATCGGTCACCTTGTTTATTGTAAGCAAACTAGATCATAGCTTCTCGATAATGGGAATGATGGAAACACCTTTGAAACTTCCTCACAGCATACCTCGGTCATTTAAGTGTCTTCCTGTGTAACTCGAGGCACAGGAAAGGTCAAGGCGAGTCCACTCATAGAATGTGCCGGAACGTTCAGCCAACTCGCTGTGTGTGTGTGTGAGGTGAGCGAGTGCGTCTGTCTGTACGTGTGTTTAGTTTGTTGTCTTTCCCCCGCACCTCCGGTTGGCTACGTACGGTGTGAAAGAAGTTCAACGTACATAGACTCACACAGACCCATAGACTCACCCATAGACTCACACAGAGACCCATAGACTCACACAGAGACCCATAGACTCACATAGAGACCCACAGAGACCCATAGACTCACACATAGACCCATAGACTCGCAAGGAGACCCATAGACTTGCACAGAGACCCATAGAGACCCATAGACTCACACACATAGACTCACACAGAGACCCATAGACTTACACAGAGACCGATACTCACACAGAGACCCATAGACTCACAGAGAACGATAGACTCACACAGAGACCCATAGTTTGTCCTTCACCCGCACCTCCGATGAACACGGCTGTGAGCCGTATGGACTTTAAAACTCAATTTCCCCGTACAAAATTACGGGGTAAACCGCATGGCTTGACAGCTATGGCTACTCGAATATGCGAAGTCGTGTACACAATGGTGACAGTAACCGTTATGCACCTTTAAAGTGTATAGTTTTTTGTTAACTTTTCCCGCCCTTTTTGTTTCCTGTTCCCATTCATTGCAGTGATTCAAAACCCCGTGAGAGAGGGGTGGGAGGAGGGTGGTTATCGAAGTTGCAGTTCTAACTTTAACAAATGCACTGCTCTTTTGAGCGTTGACAGATCCGATTCCGCCAGTGCGTTCCCATTGATCGAATCGAGAATCGAGACCGTATCCGGACTTGTTCGCTATGGTAGAATCGAATCGATTATGGATCGTGACCACTTGGAATCGATTCGTCGTCGCCTACCCCCCCACCCACCCACTCTGCGTAACTTCATTTAAAAAACTCGCGACTTGGCTCAAAGTTCTGCCGTTCATTCATTCATTCATCGAACTCATTCGCATTACGCGACTCGTTCGTTTATTCGTTCGTCCGTCGTCAGAACGGCGACGAGGAGGAGGAGGAAGGCGAGGAGGAGGAGGAGATGGAGCCCGTGAAGAGGACGTGGGGAGACCGCCTCAAGGGGCTGCGACACTTCTTCTACAACCCGCACACAGGGGAGGTGGTGGGGCGCACCCCCAAGAGCTGGGGTGAGTGGGGGGGGGGCTAGAGAGTGGGGGGGTGAGTGGGGGGGGGGGGTAGAGAGTGGGGGGGTGAGTGGGGGGGGGGGCTAGAGAGTGGGGGGGTGAGTGGGGGGTAGAGAGTGGGGGGGTGAGTGGGGGGGGCTAGAGAGTGGGGGGTGAGTGGGGGGGTGAGTGGGGGGGGGGCTAGAGAGTGGGGGGGGTGAGTGGGGGGGGGGGCTAGAGAGTGGGGGGGTGAGTGGGGGGGGGGGCTAGAGAGTGGGGGGGTGAGTGGGGGGGGGGGTAGAGAGTGGGGGGGTGAGTGGGGGGGTGAGTGGGGGGGGGCTAGAGAGTGGGGGGGTGAGTGGGGGGGTGAGTGGGGGGGGGGGTCTAGATAGTGGGGGGGTGAGTGGGGGGGGTGCTAGAGAGTGGGGGGGTGAGACGGGGGGGGGCTAGAGAGTGGGGGGTGAGTGGGGGGGTGAGTGGGGGGGTGGTGAGGGAGGGTGAGTGGGGGGGGGGCTAGAGAGTGGTGGGGGGGGCTAGAGAGTGGTGGGGGGGGCTAGAGAGTGGGGGGGGGGGGGTGAGACGGGGGGTGGGGGGGCTAGAGAATGGTGGGGGGGGGGGGGGCTAGAGAGTGGTGGGGTGAGACGGGGGGGTGGGGGGGCTAGAGAGTGGTGGAGGGGGGGCTAGAGAGTGGTGGGGGGGGCTAGAGAGTGGTGGGGGGGGGCTAGAGAGTGGGGAGGGGGGGTGAGACGGGGGGTGGGGGAGCTAGAGAGTGGTGGGGGGGGGGCTAGAGAGTGGTGGGGTGAGACGGGGGGGTGGGGGGGCTAGAGAGTGGTGGGGGGGGGGGCTAGAGAATGGTGGGGGGGGGGGCTAGAGAGTGGTGGGGGGGGCTAGAGAGTGGTGGGGGGGGCTAGAGAGTGGGGGGGGGGGGTAGCTAGAGAGTGGGGGGGGGGGGTGAGACGGGGGGGGTGGTGAGGGGGGGGGGCTAGAGAGTGGTGGGGGGGCTAGAGAGTGGTGGGGGGGCTAGAGAGTGGTGGGGGGGGGGCTAGAGAGTGGTAGGGGGGGCTAGAGAGTGGTGGGGGGGGCTAGAGAGTGGGGGGGGGGGCTAGAGAGTGGTGGTGGGGGGGGCTAGAGAGTGGTGGGGGGTGGGGGCTAGAGAGTGGTGGTGGGGGGGGGCTAGAGAGTGGTGGGGGGGCTAGAGAGTGGTGGGGGGGGGGCTAGAGAGTGGTGGGGGGGGGGCTAGAGAGTGGTGGGGGGGCTAGAGAGTGGTGGGGGGGGCTAGAGAGTGGTGGGGGGGGGCTAGAGAGTGGTGGGGGGGGGGCTAGAGAGTGGTGGGGGGTGGGGGCTAGAGAGTGGTGGTGGGGGGGGGGCTAGAGAGTGGGGGGGTAGCTAGAGAGTGGGGGGGGTGAGACGGGGGGGGGGGTGGTGAGGGGGGGGGCTAGAGAGTGGTGGGGGGGCTAGAGAGTGGTGGGGGGGGGCTAGAGAGTGGTGGGGGGGGGGCTAGAGAGTGGTGGGGTGGGGCTAGAGAGTGGTGGGGGGGGGCTAGAGAGTGGTAGGGGGGGCTAGAGAGTGGTGGGGGGGAGGGCTAGAGAGTGGGGGGGGCTAGAGAGTGGTGGGGGGGGCTAGAGAGTGGTGGGGGGGGGGGGCTAGAGAGTGGTGGGGGGGGGGGGGCTAGAGAGTGGTGGGGGGGGGCTAGAAAGTGATGGGAGTGATGGGAATGATGGGAGTGAGAAAATGATTGGGGTTTGGTGTTGGCCCGGCAAGTAACTTCACGTGTTGAACTGACATTAATAGGGGCTTGCTAACAGCACTTTCTACAACAGCTCTGTGTGAGAGTGTGTTGTGTGCTCGTTTCTTATCTTCACAGCTCCACGGGAACAAGCAATTAAGTCTCATTTAATCAAACTTTCCACCTTACGTTCGTGTGGACACGCTGCGTGATGCTCGATATTTGCTACATTACAAGGCACACTTTTTCCCTATTTTTATGTAATTATTTGTGAGAAGCACCTTAGAATGTAGTCGGTGTGTGTATGTTACCAGATTAGTATAACTTAATACTGGTAGGAACCTCCTGTGATAATGATATTGATGAAGTTGGATAGTATCTTGTACTGGTTGGAACCTCCTGGTTACATCAGCCCACAGGGGATTATTGTGTCCGTCGTGCAGGGAGGGGCTGGGTGGGAGGGAGGGGCTGGGTGGGGAGGGTGGGGTTGGGTGGGCAGGGGCTGGGTGGGGAGGGGCTGGTCACCACGTGGTGCCCTTATAAAACTCAACGTTTAACCTACTCACGCCGGCTTGTGCCCGCCCTCACAGTCGGGCATTTTTGCGGAATACACCACGCCGCCGTTGACCCTGGCCATTGACCGAGCAACCCACCAACGTTCCTACCAGCTTCCCTCCGCAGGAATGTGTTTGGCGTCAGGCACGTGGTTTGGAATATGCTCATCTATTTTAATAACTTTAATGACTAAAAAAAATAGCATAGAAATGATTTGTTTTAGTCATAGACCTTTTACAGGTCGCTTACCGCTTTCTCACCAATAAGATTGCAATGCCGCAATAGCTCTGACGCCTCTGTGCCTCACGAAGAGAACGTATCGTTCAAGATTTAAGAACATTTGTTTAGCTGAGCCTTTGGACATAGAAAAAACATCTGAGCAGAAACCCCTGCTGGTGTAATAGATGGCAATTTTCAAAGTCGCTTCGCAGCATGATGGCGAAAAAAAGGCTCATCTATGGGGAGCAGTGGGCCCAGTTTGTTTATTTACTGTCCTTCGGGTTTCTCTTGAAATACGGCATCAAAAATATTGGTGGTAATCAGTAGCAGATGGGGGTCCGTTTTGGCTTGTGGAACAAAACCCAAATGAATCCGGTCACACTGGCCACTCAGGGATATGTCTCCCTTTTGTGTTCAACTACACTGGCCATGGGACATAGAAGGTACATCCTTTTTATATTAGTATCACCAAGTATATCTCAGTTGTGGGTAGCATAGGGAATTGCAGCAAAACCCGATTGTTGTTTTGTACGTCTATGATACCTCAGCTATGCTCTCCACGTTCACCAAGCCATTTCCTGCCAGCATGGTGAACTGTGGCCTAATAACCCACGTGACCCACACGGAGTGGGGAGGCACTCATCCCTGTCAGTGGATAGACAAAGGGATTTACTTTTACATATATATATATATAATCCTAGCTGATTTGGAGTCATGTCATGGAATTATCGTAACAATCGTAGCATCACACCTGATGGTCATCCAGTGTGGTTAAGAGATCATTCCATCTCCACAGTTTCCATCCCCATGCTTCATCTGTCCACATTTGCAGTTTCGGCTATGCCAAGATGCACCGTTTGGCCACATTTAGCTGCTGCACAATAATAAACACATTGCTGCGGAGTTAGCTGGTAGGAACGTTGGGTTGCTCGGTCAATGGCCTGCAGGGTCAACGGCGGCGTGGTGTATTCCGCAAATATGCCCGACTGTGAGGGCGGGCACAAGCCGGCGTGAGTAGGTTAAACGTTGAGTTTTATAAGGGCACCACGGGGTGACCAGCCCCTCCCCACCCAGCCCCACCCCTCCCACCTCCCATCCAGCCCCATCTTACCCACCCAGCCCCTCCCCACCATCCCATCCCCACCCAGCCCCTCCCCACCCACCCCTCTCCACCCAACCCCACCCCTCCCATTTTTGGATGCACGACGGACGGACAGACGGACACAATAATCCCCTGTAGGCTGGTGTAACCAGGAGGTTCCTACCAGTATAATTCCATGTATGTAGCAGCTTTTCATCAAGGATCTCAAGCGCTGTACAGGACACAGCAGCAGCAGCAGACACTGAGCATTAACATAATTTTATTATGAATACATTTTAATAATCAATTTCCCAAATTAACTAAAAGTTTAATAAGCGGAAGCATATAAATAGGTTTTAAGGTGCATTTTTAAAATGTCCACAATCTCAGAGATCCCTGATATCTTGTGGAAGAGCATTCCAAAGCCTGGGGGCTACACGGGGAAAAATCCGGTCACCTATAGACCGAAACTTCGACTTTGGAATGCAGAGAAGATCTGCATCCCCCAGATCTTCTGGACCTTGAGGGGGGCATATGGGTGAGGCATGTCAGTGATGTAGGCTTGGGCAAAATGGTTCACTGCTGATGTGTTCACACAGCCAAGCAGCCAGATATCACAGTGGATCATTGGCACGTGAAAGATATTGGACTATGGAGATGATGCAGAAGTTGTTTGCGAAGATCTTGTTTGGCGAGCAGTTTACAGCCGTTATCAATTGCAGGCACTGGGGGCTGGATACTAACGGCCCCCTAAAGAAAGAGTTTGCTAACAAGAAAAAACGAGCTCTTATAAAATGTATAAAGCTGTCTCTGTGTCTCCTCACTTGTCTGACCACAGGGGTCAAAGGGAAATGAGAATGTGTGGTAAGTAGAGGACATTGTGTGTTCGGGCAGTAATGTACAAATCACTGGGAGTTCTGAGAAGGTCAAGATTGCATATATGGTGTTACTAGGGTGAGCTTTTAATGGAACACTTAAATTACTCTCATAGAAGGTGGTTCAGCAACAGATTGAGCAGCTTGTAATCAGAAGGTTGTGAGTTCAAATCCTGGCTGGGATTTTACTCAGCCTATCACTCCGGGGTACATAAAGTGGATACAACTTCGTGGTGAAGTCAACTGTGGCTGTTCTATGAATAGACTCGCCCCCGACAAAAGAATGACGAGTTCCCATGGCTGTAAATGGGATGAACAGCACTTCAATGCTCATTTAAACAGAAAATAAGTTTGATTTAACTATTTTTTTTAGGCCAGAGAGGTCAATTGCAATATCAAAGCTTGGTCATTTGAGGAGGCAGGAGTAATGTATGTTGATTAATGGACGCTTCACTTGCAAGGCATCCAGAAAATAAACCTTCGAGCCTTTTGAATAAAGGCTGATCCAAAAAAGACGACAGTAAAATCATTGCACTATAGACGATAAGCAACTTGGAAGTTCAGAAAC